TTTTGGTTTATGATGTTTTCATTATACCAGTAACGCAGAATTACATCTGGAAATCTAAAATTTACAAAAGAGGGTGAAAAAGTCAGGAAAATCACGGATATTTCCATTCCCCAAGATAACCACTGTGATTTTTTTTTTTTTTTTGGTAGCAGCTTGATTAAGATTTAATTCACTTCCCACGGCAATCACCCACTGAGAGTGTACGATTCAAACATTTACGGTACATTCAGTGCTGTGCAACCATCACGTGATCAATTTTAGACGGTTCCATCGCCCCAGAAGAAACCCCATACCCTTTACCTGTCACTCCCCTACCCCCTAACCCCCGCCCTAGGCAAGGCCAACTTCCTCTCTGTCTCCACAGCTTCGCCTGCTCTGCCTGGACGTCTCACACTAAAGGCCTCGCACTGTCTGTGGTCTGCCGCTGGCCTCTTCCTGCGGCCACAGCGTGTCTGATCTTCCCCTCCACTGTGTGCATCAGCGCCTCATTCCTGCATCGATATTTTGATGTATTTTTTCCGGACTTAATTTCCTTCAGAACTTGGGGACAGGAGGGAGATGGGGGCACCGTGTTCCCATGGTTCTAATCATTCTGTGATACAATTTTTGATTCCGCTTTTTTCGCTTGACGTAGGCATTTCACCTGATCCTCTTACAACTGTTTTTAAAACAACTGTGATGGCTGCATCGTATTCCCTTGAGTGAAGGAGCAGATATTCGGTCAGACATTTCTCTCAGACCGTACATATAGTTAAATCTCTATATTTAGTCCTTCCTAAGAACCTCCATTTAATTTCATATTCCTTCCTAATGTTTTTCCATTTATTTCCTATGTCATTAAATTTAGCTTTTTGTTTATATTTCCCTTTTGCGGGGGGGGAGGCGGTTTAATTTCTTGTACCTTTTCCGAAGTTCTTAAAATAATTACTTTATCATCATCTTTATTTTTCCACCTTATTTCTTTAATAATGAAGACATTTACAGCTATACATTTTCCTCTGGGTACCTCTTTTGCTATGGCACATAAGTTTAGTATAAAATAGTCTTCTTTTCATTTATTTTTAGACAATTTATGATATCCCTTCCGATTCTCTCTTCAATCTGATAATTATCCAGAGTTTATATTTAATTTATAAATAGTCAAGACTTGAGGAGTCTTGATATAAGGGGTCAGCCTTATATTATTTCTTTCTCATTTGCACTGGATTATAATCATGACTGTGGCCTTAAAAACTCTTTTTAAGTTTGTCAAGAGTTTCATTTTGAGAGACACCTGATGGATTTTTACAAATATACTATCAATATGAGAAAAGAAACATACAAACTTTCTTCAAGGAATAGAAGGAAATCGTTTATTTGATTCTCCTATATCTTTGCATATTTCTTGTCTACTAAACCGTTAATTTTCAAAGTAGCATATGACTTAAAAAAATAGCACAAGATGCCAGCTCCAGTGTGACCATAGGACAGTAGCTTCATTACACGGACACATGCTCAGCCACACTAGTTGTGAGAATGGCTTCACAAGCCAGGCACAATCTCTTGTAGCACTTCGAGACGCATGTAAGAAATTCTTGTCCTCATTCTGCTGGTGGCAGAGCCATTTCAAGATGGGACCTTTGCTGCCCCTAGGGAAATCTGGTTCCCTCTGAAACGTGAAATGGGCAGGTGGTCTCACCGACTTTCTGCCTCTATTGTAAAGAAGACTTTCCTCTCCCAACTAAAAGTAAGTGGGAACCATTGGACACTTCCTGCTTGCAGCAGTAATTCCTGACCACAGGGCCCCTCGGCCAGCCTCTGCTCACGGCCTGGGGAACGGGGCTGTTGGGAGGATTGCTTCAGAAATTAGCCCAACAAAAAGCAAGCGCTCCTGAAAGAGGTCAGCTGCGAGCCACCTAATAGCCCCATCAAAAGAGGCTCCAGGGCCTCCTCCTCCGCCTTTTTTCTTGACCTGCTGCATACTTCGGTAAGTGAATGAGGCCACATTTGGGGACACGTGCATTATAGTCGATTCAGGGTGGTCTGTTTAAAACCGCAGCCAATTAAAAGATCAGAAATGCCTCCTATTTCTATAGCGCTTTGTCTGAGGAGCTTAACGCACACAGAAGCTTTGAGGCCAGGCCGTTTTACATGGAGCCCCTGCAGGATGGAGCTCGGTGGTGGACTGGGGCATCCAGACCCTACCTTGCCAAGGTCCTGTTCAGCTCACCTGATGGCTGATTGGCACCCTGAGCCCAGAGGACTCCACCGCTTAAAGCAGATCAATGCCTAACGAGGATGGAGCCAGAAAGAACAAATATGGATAACACTGGCTGTTCACTGTGCGAGGCACTGAGTATGCGCCCTCGCTTCACACACACACACACATGGCGCCAGGATATTATGAAGCCCGTTCTGGTGACGACGGAGTCCTGGAGATGATAAGTAACCCGAAGGAACTCTCGTGAAAAGAAACAGGATTGCGGGGGCGGGGAGAGGAGCAACACGAAGGAGACCACGGCACAGAAACATTTTCACACTCAACCCTAAGCAGACGTCAACGCTTTGATGTCTACGAGCACGCAGTGATAGAGAAATGGCCCCGCTCCTTATCCAATGATGACTTAAAGTCAGGTCAAGTAAATGCGGGTGAATCAGGGCGGGGAGGGCGCACTGAGGGGCATGTGAAATGGCTGTGGCCCTGCTGGTTAGTCCCTATGGGACGGTAATGGAAGGGTGCAGGGACTTCCCACATACACACGGCAGCAGGTGTGTGCAGACAGGACTCCAGCCACGGGAGGAGGATGGGGATCAGGCGGCAGAGCAGGCTGAGGTGGAGGCACGGTGGGAGCCCTTAGGTGGGTTAGAACCCCATGCGCGTCAGACGGGGGACCACAGAGCCAGAGAGAGGCGAGCCTAGCTCAGGGTCAAACGCGGAAGCCTAGACCCTCCCAAGTGCCCACGGAATGAAGGGCCTCCACCCGGCTGTGGCT